AGTCATGACATCTGAAAAAGGGCCCTGTCTTTTTTGTTGCTTCCTAAGTCTTACATGTACTTCTTATTGCTGTTATGACTTTGGCCTGTCTTCAAGTACAATGCAATAAAAGTGCTGAAAATGACACCCCTCTCTCTTTTTTTTTTTCCTGAGTGCAATATAAATCTTTATAAAGTTTTACTGGTGTTTAACATCCATTTCACTTTCCTATAAATGTGAGTGTTGTGTGTATGTGTGTGTATGTGTATTACTTCAGAGCCTATCGGACCCCAAATGACTTTTACCAGGCTGTCTTTCATCCTGCATGTGATTTTTAAATTGGACAATTGGATTTGTCTGCATACCTTTAGGAAAAGTATACAAGTTTTCCTTAAAGCTGCAGGAATAAACCAGAGAACTCCAAACCACAGCCCAGTGCCAGCACAGATAAAGAATCTGATCCACGGCCGGAAGCCACCAAGGACACATTGGTCTTGACTACACTTATTAAAACCATCTGTTCTTCATCCTCCTTAAGCACACTGCACCTTCCTAAGCCAGAAGAATTCAGGTATCAGTTCACAAGAAGTCAGACTGAGTTTCCTCTTAGACAGAAAAGCAAAGAATAAAAGGAAAGAGGGTAAATGTTTTTCTTTGTAATACCTACATCATTGTCCAGATAATATATTTTTATTACTTAAAAACTACATTGTAGATGAAAAAAAGAAGGGAAAAAAAAGCTACTGATAATGCTTCCTCTTAGGGACCACCCTCTGTTAAATTCTTCATTCTTTTTCTCTATTGTTATATTAATTAGACAAGGATGACTGTAGTTTCAAGTGGCTCTTCTCGATAAGTGAACTAAAATCTAAGCCTCAAAGTGCCTCAAGGTCAAGGTTATGAAATCAAAAACACTAAGGACAACGAATCACAAACAGTCAACCAAGCTTTGAGCTACTGGCATTCAATAATATTTTTATCTCGTTTCATTGTTTCTCTATTAAAGTCTTCCAGCTCCTGCCGCTGGAGGACCCGTAACCACTTCTGGTTTGGTGCTTCCATGTTCTAATCAAGTTTTGCTCACTCTTAAGCTTTTTAAATACCTCAGCATATCTTTGAACAATTCAGAGTATGAAGATTTTTCATTAGCCATCTTATGTCATCATCTGATTTTTAACAGCCTCGTGGAGTGCAATCTTCAGTGTTTTATTGGTGAGTAGCGAGTAGCTGCCATGCAGTCCTATGTGACTTCTGGGTGAAGCATCTGGAGGGGGGAAGAGCTCTGTACATCTAACTCTTTAGGAGAGACTCCCAACTTTGGGCTGCTTGGATGCTTTCTCACTCACTTGCATTTCAACTCATTTATTATCAAATTGAACAGAAAAGGGGGAAATACTTGGGGATAATTCACATCAACATTTTCCAGTGCTAGACTTAGATATAAATCATAGAAAACAGTCCCTGTGTGATAAGTGAATGAAGACGGGAATATAGAGAATAGTCATGTCACCAAATGAGAATCAAATTCATGTTGTCTCTTCCTCCCCAGTTGACAATGGAATAAGTTTGCGAGTGCTGAAATGAAAATATCAGAACAATAGAAGAGGTCACTTTTTCCATGAGAGTGGAAGGGAAAATCATTTTCTTCCTTATTATTGTTTTGCATTTTGCGAGTCCAGTTGCACAATGGGAGTACTCAGAATTTTGTTTTCCTAGACCAACAATTTCGCCACAAAGGCCTGATGAACTTTAGCTGCATCTCTGGCTAAGTCTTTGAGGCAAAGTCATGTACTTGACTCCTGATGCTTGAGAGATGCCAACATACCAGGCTGAGTTGGCTCACAGTGATAACTCTGTCCAATAAACTAGGCTTCTTGTGACTGAAAGAAAAATTGTTTTCTGACAAGGATTTTATATTTATAGATATTCTGTTAATCTGCTCATCATTTATATTGGTCTTCAGGACATGAAGCTCACAGTAAACTGGATCAAGAGTAAATTTTACTGGCACTTTTTTTTCCCATTAAAATTTTTTTTTAATGTTTCTTTATATTTGAGAGACAGAGAGAGACAGAGTGTGAGCCGGGGAGGGGCAGAGAGAGAGGGAGACACAGAATCCAAAGCAGGCTCCAGGTTCTGAGCTGTCAGCACAGAACCCAACACAGGGCTTGAACCCACAAACCATGAGATCATGACCTGAGCTGAAGTCCGATGCCTACCCGACTGAGCCACCCAGGTGTCCCTTACTGGCACTTCTTAGTAGTTATAAAAGCCCTGTGTCTTAGCAGGCCTATTTCTGTTTTCTCCAGACCCCAGCCCCACAAGTGGTATGCATGCACTGTCCTGGGAAAATTGAGTCTAACAACTACAGTCCTTCCCAGCCCAAATATTCCCTGTTTCCATCTTTCTCTTTTTCATAAGTGGATGATTTCCCTGTTGGAATAATATTTGGAATTCTAATTGTTCTCAAGGTAGAAGATATGTGACCTTTGTCCAAAATAGAGGGGAAGGCCAAGTCATTTCTCATTAGTGTTGAGCTGAGTCTTGGCTTCTGGTCCATGGTTTCTTTCAGTAAGAAAAGCAGTTTATCACTGACATCTATTCTAAATATCAGAAGAGTTTTCTGACTTTCTCTCAAGCATGACTCTTCTAGATGGCTTTTTATACTTACAATCCCCTTCTTGTACCTCCAACTCCCAGCCACTTTCTTCCTACTAATAGTTTTAACATAAGACTTATAGAACATAGGGAATTTTTTATGTTATTAGTAAACATACTTTATTTCCAGGACAGTGTAGAAATGCCTCGAAGCGAGGTGGAGGGTGCAGTGTTGTGTACTAACTGAAAATAGTTGGTTAAGAGCCACATGAAACATGGGAAGACAGAAGACAGTATCAGTAGTATACACCAAACTGCACCCAGGATGCACTCATGTCATTGGCCAGAGAAGGGAAATCTACTTTCATAGGATCTGTTAGCCAAGGATTCCATATTTAACACAATGGGAGGTTATTTTTCACTCGTGAAACCCTTGCATATTTGTTGAGGAGCATTCTAGAGGTAATTCTGGAACCCAGCCTCCTTCTATGTCTGGCTTCTGACCTCTTCCACATCCACAGAGTCTTATCTACTCATCTTATTACTGGGGAAAGAATGAGAGGATTGAAAGTGGGAGGGATCAGCTAGGCCTGTAAGAGATGTGTGTCACTTCTGCCAAGATTCCATTGATTAAAATTCTGTCAATGGTCACATACTACCACAAGGGAGGCTGGAAAATATAGTTTACTTGTATGTCCAGAAGAAAATGGAAATGAGTTTTGAGGACACATGGCAGACAATAAAGATACATTTTAAGATAATTGTAGAAATAAAAGAGCCTCAAGAAACTCACTCTTTCAGGGCGCCTGGGGGGGCTCAGTCGGTTAAGTGTCCAACTTCAGTTCAGGTCATGATCTTGCAGTTTGTGAGTTAGAGCCCCTCACCGGGCTCTGTGCTGGCAGCTCAGAGCCTGGAGCCTGCTTCAGATTCTGTGTCTCCTTCTCTCTCTGCCCTGCCCCTGCTCACACTCTGTCTCTCTGTCTCTCAAAAATAAATAAACATTTTTTTTAAAAAAAAGCTCACTATTTCATGCAGTAACATTAGTCCCTATCCCTATGTCTCTTTTAGCTCTTGGTTCTAAGTCTACATGTCAACCCACTTTTCTAGCTGGGAATACAGTTAATTCCTCTCAGAGAGCTATGTGCCCTTCATCCTGGGGAATCTTCCTTTATTGAGTCCTTGGTATGTCTTATGAAAGATACCACTGAGATACTTCACAGTCATACTTGGCTGTTAGAGACTAAAAAAAAAAAAACAAGAAGCAGAGGGGTGCCTGGGTGGTGCAGTCGGTTAAGCGTCTGACTTCGGCTCAGGTCATGACCTCATGGTTTGTGGGTTCGAGCCCCGCACTGGGCTCTGTGCTGACAGCTAGCCCAGAGCCTGAAGCCTGTTTCAGATTCTGTGTCTCCCTCTCTCTCTGCCCCTCCCCTGCTCATGCCGTCTCTCTCTCTCTCTCAGAAAAAAACAAAAACCAAGAAGCAGAAGACTTGATTTCCTGCTTTCAGTGCACCTGCACATTGGCTTTGACAACTTTTCTTATTATTTCGTTACCTTCACCTAAAGCTCATCCAAGAATTACTGTGAGAAGTAAGAATTTCTATATCAATTCAAATTCCAAGTTTCCAGGAAACACTTCTTACAGGAATTCTTAGACAAGCTTTAGGTGAAGGAGAAGAAATAATAAGAAAATTTAAAAGTATAAAAGGAATAAAAGAACTAAAAAAAGAGACCACTGTATCCTGTCCTCTTTCTGCCCCCGTTATGAAATCTCTCCCTACCTGAGGGTGGGGAAAGCAGGGTATAGGATGACGCCAAGAATAGACAAGTGAGCACTCCTACTGACGTGGTAACTGTACTATTAAATATTTCCCAAGACTCAGGATTCCTCAGGTTTGCCATCACAAGCAGGTGACTAAAGCAAATTCTTTGGCTTTGCATAGGCCTGGCTAAAGGTCTGTTGTTGGAAACTCTCTGAGGAGTTCATGCCGAAAAAGCTTTTTTTTTTTTTTCATGATTTATGAGATTCCAGATGCCACCACTAGCATTAGATGATTAAATTGGGACGTTTGTTTGAACTGCATCAACAGGGTTATATACTGCCCTGAGGGCCTCAGGTGGACATTGCACGCCATTGCCATCATCCCTTTGGATGTCCCCCACAGGAAATATCAGAAGTTTCCCAAGACAGTCTGTACTCCTGAACTTTCCAGAGAGGCCCTGGCAGACATAGGTCAGCTTTGTCTGGATTGGTACCTGGGCCTGGAAGTCTCTAAAGCTCAGAGCCCCACCAGGGTGGAAAAGGGCTGGGTGACTGCCCTGGAATAGTGTTAGTAAGAGCAGAACATCTATGCCCATCAGATGCCCTGTGTCAGGGGTGACAGGGATTGCTGCCCCCTCATTGATCAGATTAGCCAGGTACTCACCGGTGTTGGATTGCAAATGTCTGGATTTTGCTTCGCCTGGCAGGAGCTCCTGGGATAGGAGAGAAAACAGCTTATAAATTCTTTAATGATTCTTGGAGCCAAGGGCAGCTTACAGACTGGATTTTCAAGCAATGCTATTTAAAAGGTTCCAGGGGACATAAAGGTAAATAGCTTGAAAAATAGGTGGGAAGTTATTTCTCTCCTCCTCTGAGAACATTACTCAGATTGAATTAACCCCTCTTGAATCCTTCTTGTGATTCTAAGGCACAGTAGTAGGCACTGTGCTAGGACATTGTTAATTCAGCTTCTTATACAGCCCCCACCTTATCATTGATGTTTATCATTCAGTTACACTGCATGCTTCTCTTTGGAAGAAACATTTGGAAATCAGACTTTCTTAAAAATTCCTTTCTTTTTCCTTCCTTCTTTCTTTTGATCAGATTTCTCAACAGCTCTGAAGTGCCCACAGGGATGTCTGAGGATGTGGGAAGACAAATGAACAAAGAGTAATCTCCTCTGAAGATGTTCAAGGAGAAGCTGAATATTTACTCAGAGGAAGATGCAAGCTTCAGTTGGAAGGATAGACAAGATGACCTGACACCTCTACTAGTCCTAAAATTCCACTGTTTTATTTGGTTTATATCTGTTTGAATATTTGGAGATTAGTACATTGTCTTTTTAATGGATACGGAGATAGCTTCTGGGTAAAGCATTAATTTTGTTACTCACATTCCCCACAGAATCCTATAATAGGATTAGGCTATTCTTTCATTGGTATGGTGCCCATAGCCCTATATTTTGAGGGACAGTTCTGATTTCAAACTTCCTCGCTTTCTGCTGAGTTCACTTCTGCTTGACACATGACTTGTTCTGACTTGAGATTTAATATTGACAGTTTACTGACAGGGTAAGGAAGTGTCAGCGATGAAAAGAGCAAGCCATTATGGGTAGAGGCCTTGTAAGGAGAAATTAGATTTCCTAACATCATGGATAATTTTGAGTTCCTTCAAATATTTCAGACCAAAGGACCTCTTTTCCTTCAATGCTTTTTTCTTGATTTTGTTTTTTTTATTTTACTTTTTTTAATGTTTTATTTATTTCTGAGAGAGAGACAGCATGAGCAGGGGAGGGTCAGAGAGAGAGGGAGACACAGAATCTGAAACAGTCTCCAGACTCTGAGCTGGCTGTCAGCACAGAGCCCAATGTGGGCCTCGAACCCACAAACCGTGAGATCATGACCTGAGCCGAAGTCGGACGCTTAACCAGCTGGGCCACCCAGGCGCCCCTCTTGATTTTAAAGAAAAAGCAAAAGCTCTGCAACAAACTGTCTACACGATGATCATAGATTTAACCACTAGTTGCTATGACTTGGGAGTAATTTTCCCACATGGCATAGCAAATTTTTGAACCAATTTCCATGGCTGCCACAGGAACGGTCGTAACGCTTGGTTGTAGCAGGTGGAGGGATGGTACTGGAATGAGCAGCTGGTCAATGCCTTCTGCCTCAAGCTTCCAGCGTGGTCCCGATGTTGTGGGTGCCTCTTGCTGACTCCACTGTTCCTAAGGAAATCTTTGATTTTTTCCCACTTTCCTTTCTTTCATTTTTTATCAACTAAAAGTTGGGTTTTAATTGCTAAAAATAAATAGCACTTAACAGCAGAAACCCCTGAAAAGGAAGACGTCTTTCTTCTCATCCACTCAAGAAGCAACTGCCCTTTGCTGGTGATCTGATATAGGAAGTAAAATACTGAGGTTCATGTATAAGAAGATAGAGTCAGATATCACTGAAGAAAGTCCATGTTTTGAAACAAATATTTAATACACATTTATTGGAATATAATTCCAATGAGGTTGGAGATCTTCATCTATTTTACTGTGTAGTGTCTGTAGTTTACCTTTAAACACTTTTAGATGCAGTGCTGTTAGCACTGGAGAAGCATGAAAGGAGAGGGGATCCCTCAGGTGTCTGCTGTGGTCATTTTTAGGAAAGAGACACTCTGAGCAAATTGCAAACTGAAATTACACACTGAGCTTTGTTAATGTAATAGCTGCACCCAGAGTCCAGTGGCTCAGTGGTAGGGCTGGGTTGGGGCTGAAGAGAAGGTACACCAATGACTTGGGACAGGTGGAAGGAACCTGCTTCTTTGCTTCCTAAAGGGAAAACTCACTTTGTAGGAAAAGCTGCTGGAGAATATCTATCACCTGCTGAATGACACATCCAGATAAAAAAGTAGATTTTACTTGCTCTTTGGGGACAGAGTTACAGAGCTTTCTATGAACATACTCTGGGTGAAGTGATCATGAATGTCAGTTTGCCTCAGCGGACTTGTAATAAGAGTAAAAAAGCCTTCCATGGTCGCATTGCAGGTATTTATAGATTCTTCTTGCTTTATTTTATAGTACTTGTTGCTGCTGAAGTATGCTGTGAAGGGAGTCCTGTTAAACACTGTCAGCACTCCAACTGGTCTAGAAGCCTGTCGGGTATTAAATGTTTTATAGCTGAACTTTATTACACTCAAACTTCACAGAGACATTTATGAACCTTATTGCATCCTGATATTAAATGAGGCCACAAAGGTATTTCTGATTTTATGGGAATGGGACTTTTCATTGTATGGAACTTTCACAGAGCTGTTGAATTCTAGAGTTCAAAGTGATTCTGCAAATGTTAATTTCTCTAGGGATCCTTGGGACCTTAAAAAAATTGCTGATGACTTCTACATCTTGCATCTAACATTTTTTTTTCATTTGGAAAACATGTACAGTTGCCTCAGTAAAAGGAATGTGTGGAGTTTGTGGTTGATGCTGTATTCACGCCATGGCAAGAAGAGAGACCCTGTTTATTGCTACAGGAGACATATAAGGAAAATAAAAGGAGGAAAATATCATTTAATAGATAAACAGTCATGCCCAGCTTGACATTTTTCTAAGCCCTTCAAGGACACACATTCCTGAAGTTCTGTGAGTCAGTCTTTATAGATGGAAGATTAACTATTAACTCTCCTTAGTAAGGAGATTTTCTGTAATGCCACCCAGTAGAAACTTCAGTCTTTCCAAGGTTCATTCACTCACGATTCATTCATTCCATATTCACTGAATTGTTGCTTTGTGTTAGACACTGTTCTAAGTAAAGACTATGATAAAAAAAAGACATGATTCTCAAAGAGTTTATGGTCCATTCCAGCTGACTAAGCAAAGACATATGATGTATAAAGACTGCTGTCTGATTATAGATGAGAAGCATCTACATTAGGACATGTTGTAGATGTAGCATGTTCACATGGCGGAACACCAGTAGACACTTCTGAGGGGCAGCAACACCTGAACTGGGTTTTTAGGGATGAATAGGAGTTAGGAAGAGAAATGTTGACATTGTTCTTTGTGCACATCATCCTAGTAGTTGAGGGAATGATATACATGTTCCAAGATAGCCTGACAGATCTGCTTAGAAAAGTGGAACTCAGAATGAGAGTCTACTTCCCAGGGGTATGAGCCATGCTAACCCTGGCTCTTAAGTACGTAATGGTCCCATTATCTCACTGTGCTAATTTATAGCTGTAATAGTCTTATTATTTACATAGTATCTATGGTTTATATACTACACATTTAATCTTTATAGCAGCTTGATTAAATGAGTATTATTATTACTGTATAGATTAAGAAATGAATCAGAGCTATCCAGTGACCCTACCCAAGGTTACATAGTTAGAGTGTGGCTTAACTGGGCCTGGAAAGAAGCTCTTTCAACTCATATTCTGAGCTTACCTATTATATCATAGGACCTTTACTGGATACTCTTATTGATTGATTCAATATGTATTCATTCAGTACTGTTTACATGTATGTATTTATTCAATATGCATTTACTGATAATATATTCTATGCCAGGCAGACTCTGTTCTAGGTTCTGGGATATAACAGTGAACAAAAAGGTAATTTAAGATTGTGATAGATACTATAAAAATAAACGTGATGGCATGAGAATGATTGGAGGCAGGGACTATATTTAGCATTCAGAGGGTCGCTTTTATTTCCTTGGCTCTCCAATTAAATCCAGCATTTATTTATCTCTGGGTGCTCACATGATGTATGTTATTCAGTAAAAATATACTAGGCATTTCCATGTATAAATCACCACATGAGATTCTTCCATTAGTTTTGTCTATTTAGAAGAAATAAAGGGAGCTTCCATTTGTTGCGGGACTAGCATGTGTCAGGTTCGTGCCATGCAGCTTATTAGTCTCATTCCAGAGATGCGGGTGGAGTCTTTCAAAGTGCCTTAGAAGGTGCACTGATCACCCTCCTCTCAGAGGTAGGAGACAAATCCTGGTGTGACTCTGCTGCTAATGCTTAGATGTCTTGTTAATAGCTATCCTACATAAACATTCTTTCAAAGTTCTTTCTCTGTAGAGTCCTGCTCCTTTCCACAACTTAAATGTTGGTGAGAAGTCTCTATTACCTATTATTAAGTATCTCACTGGGGACGATGAAAAAATGCTCAGCAACTAAGGTCTGCCACAACTAAGGTAGTCAACACAGGCTACTCTCTGAGCACATTACAGGATCACACAGGACCCAAAGTATGACCAGCGTCTCGTGCCTGGAATCACAATGCCTTCCTCTGTATCAAACGTGACATTCCAATATTAAGTCCGACTACAGAAATGTGGGCAGGGCTCCTGAAGGGGCATGATAGCCCCAGGTCGGGGTGGGGTGTCTCCCTTGGTCCACTGTAGCAATCTAGAGGTCTTTGCTAGTTAACTGATTATATCATGGAAGTCTGAAAGAACTGAGCTTGGATGGATTAAAGGTGAGCCTATAAAACATCCCAGAAGAGAGACAACCATTAGGAGTTCTGGAGGAGGTGACATTGTGAGAGCATTGGATCAGAAAGGGAGCCCTGGGTGGTCTTAGACAAATCCTTCCTTCGGGGTCAGTCTTTGGGACTAGTGCAATGTTTTGGCTATGAAGAAAATGCGACTTCCCAGCACAGAGTTTATTCCATTTACCAGCTATTGAACTCTGGGCAGGCCATTTTAGCTTTAATAAGG